GTCTCTCACCGCGGCCGCTATGCACGACGGTCGCCCAAGCACAGCAGGCGTGGCACATTCTCGACACCACAGGGGCTGTGCAGGGGGTGGTCTCTCACCGCGGTCGCTATGCACGACGGTCGCTCAGGCGCAGCAGGCGTGGCACTTCCTCGACACCACAGGGGGTGCGCAGGGGGTGGTCTCTCACCGCGGCCGCTATGCACGACTGTCGTCCAGGCACAGCAGGCGTGACACTTTCTCGACACCACCGGGGGTGCGCAGGGGGTGGTCTCTCACCGCGGCCGCTATGCACGACGGCCGCCCAGGCGCAGCAGGCGCGGCACTTTCTCGGCACCACAGGGGGTGCGCAGGGGGTGGTCTCTCACCGCGGCCGCTGTGCACGACGGTCGTCCAGGCACAGCAGGCGTGGCACTTTCTCGACACCACAGGGGTGCGCAGGGGCTACGTGGTCTACTCACGCGGCCGCTATGCACGACGGTCGGCCAGGCGCGCAGCAGGCGCGGCACTTTTCTCGACACCGCAGGGGGGTGTGCGCAGGGGGTGGTCTCTCACCGCGGCCGCTATTGCGGGGGAAACGCGGGAAAGTTAGAGGCGTGGGCACCTTCTCCACGCCACAGTGGGTGCGCAGGGGGTGGTCTCTCACGCGGCCGCTATGCACGACGGTCGCTCAGGCACAGCAGGCGTGGCACATTCTCGGCGCCACAGGGGGTGCGCAGGGGGTGGTATCTTCACCGCGGCCGCTATGCACGACGGTCGCCCAGGCACAGCAGGCGTGGCACTTTCTCGACACCACAGGGGGTGCGCAGGGGGTGGTCTCTCACCGCGGCCGCTATGTACGACGGTCGCCCAGGCACAACAGGCGTTGCACTTTCTCGACCACACAGGGGTTGTGCGCAGGGGGTGGTCCCTCACCGCGGCCGCTTATGCTCGACGGTTCGCCAGGCACAGCAGGCGTGGCACTTTCTCGACGCCAAAGGGGGTGCGCAGGGTGGTGGGTCTCTCCGCGCCGATATGCACGACGTCGTCGGGGCAGGCACCCTCCTCGACCACCACAGGGGGCGCCCAGGGGGGGTGGTTCTTCTCACCGCGTGCCGCTATTGCAACGACGGTCGTTTCCAGGCACAGCAGGGGTGGCACATTCTCGACACCACAGGGGGTGTGCAGGGGGTGGTCTCTCACCGCGGCCGCTATGCACGACGGCCGTCCAGGCGCAGCAGGCGTGGCACTTTCTCGACACCACAGGGGGTGCGCAGGGAGTGGTCTCCCACCGCGTCCGCTATGCACGACGGTCGCCCAAGCACAGCAGGCGTGGCACTTTCTCGACACCACAGGGGGTGCGCAGGGGGTGGTCCCTCACCGCGGCCGCTATGCACGACGGCCGTCCAGGCACAGCAGGCGTGGCACTTTCTCGACACCACAGGGGGTGCGCAGGGGGTGGTCCCTCACCGCGGCCGATGTGCACGACGGTCGTCCAGGCACAGCAGGCGTGGCACATTCTCGGCACCACAAGTGGTGCGCAGGGGGTGGTCTCTCACCGCGGCCGCTATGCACGACGGTCGTCCAGGCGCAGCAGGCGCGGCACTTTGTCGACGCCACAGGGGGTGCGCAGGGGGTGGTCTCTCACCGCGGCCGCTCTGCACGACGGTCGTCCAGGCACAGCAGGCGTGGCACTTTCTCGACACCACAGGGGGTGCGCAGGGGGTGGTCTCGCACGCGGCCGCTATGCACGACTGTCGGTGAGGCATGGCACTTCTCGACCACCGCAGGGGTGTGCGCTGGGGGTGGTCTCCTCACCGCGGCCGCTATGCACGTCGGTCGCCCAGGCACAACAGGCGTGGCCTCTTTCTCGACGCCACAGGGGAGGCGCAGGGGTGGTCTCTCACCGCGGCCGC